ACGAGACTCCAAACAACTTGATGAAACTGCATTTGAAAAGGGGAGAAATAGAAAAGAAAAAGATGGAAGAAACTTAAGTTCCTTTAGTCATATACATTTTTATTTTTCTCAAAAAGGAAGCTACCTAAAATGTACACAGTTGTTTTGTGGTAGCTTTTTATCACTTCTGCACAGTCATGTAAAGAGTTTGGCTCTAGTCTTTCAAGAACATAAAGACCTTAAATTGGGGGTGAGGGCAGGAAATAACAAGTTATTGGAGGAAGATGTCTCTAGAAACATTTTAAACTGATTATATAAACATCTGAAACTATTCTGATATTGAAAGAATAAAAGGTCACTACTATTTTTTTAAATGTAAGCATTTTGTATGTAAGCATTTATTACTAAGATATTGATTCTTCAAAAAAAAAAGTGAAGTAAAACACAAAGCTGTATCTAAAGATAATTCAAATTAAGTAGTGCTTTCCAACTGCCTAACTGCAGAAGTCTTAACCTCCTCCAAGCTGAAAATCCTACTCTTCTCAGATACAAAGAGAAGTTCCCATTTAACCCTCACATAAAATAAAAGAACAATCATGATCTAAAAATTGGAACTTTTCTGTAATTATTTATGAATCATAAAAGATCTGCAAGCCTTAAAGTCTATTTGCAGTGCATAAGTTTTGTGCCATAGAAGAATCACCCCAAAAAAGAGCCAAGAAAAAAAAATATTTTTAATGATATGTAATAATAACAAATTACTTCCCAGTAATTTCCTCTTTCATTTATATCTCTAAGAAAGTATAAAATAGTAATTTTTGGCCTATTTTAAAACCCCATGATAAGAATGTTTTGAAGTAATTTCGGAGCTGTAAAATAGAATGCCTAACATAAAAAAGCAAAATTATATATTTTTGTTCTATCAGTATCTGCTAGCCATAGGGAAACACAATTTACACACTGACACTATCCCATACAACATAATACAGTGATGTAACAACATTTAGCACCACAGAACAACCTGAAATCTCCAGTATTTATAATTCAGTTCAAAACCAATTCAATAAATCTATCCGTGGAAAAAGCTCTTGAACCAAAGGCAGCAAGTCAATGTAAAGAATATTTCTTTACGAAGAATGCATCCATAAAGGATGGAGATACTTGGATTTTAGCTCCACCTCCCCCAAATATCTAACACCCTTCTCTTGAATTAACCAGAGAGGAGGTTAAATATTGAATGAAAAATTATGGCAAAGAAATCAGACTTCTTAACTGAAGAAATTAAATTTAAAATGTTTTCACAGGGAAATCTTATCTATATTTGCTGTCCCAGTGAATCTTTCTCTTTGGTTTGCAGCTACAGAGAACACTGTTATTTCCAAAAATAATTCATTATCATTTAATTGGCAAAGGGAAGGAATCACTGTTCTCTTTTTTCACTTTTAGTATTCATCATTTATTCAAAATAAAACTATTCATTGTACACCAATATCAGAATGATGGCATATGTAAACACTGAGTAAAACAGTCAAAGAACAAAGAAATGTGAGTCAACTATAGGAAAGGCGACTGAAAACAACATTTAGCACCACAGAACAACCTGAAATCTCCAGAATTTATAATTCAGTTCAAAACCAATTCAATAAATCTATCCATGGAAAAAGCTCTTGAACCAAAGGCAGCAAGTCAATGTAAAAAATATTTCTTTACGACGAATGCATCCATAAAGGATGCATTATGATGAATCAGATGAATTATGCCACAAAAGTTCTTATCTCTTTGTTATGATTACAAAGAGAGTCTAGACAACAAGTTCAGATATCATTGTTTTAGACATTTGCATTTGCTCAGATGATTCTTATCTTTTGAATTTAATTATACTTCAAATGGAACTACAGACAGATGATTGGATTATTAAAACACAGAATCTGTCACTTTGGCACCCAAATTCTGCAAAGCTGAGTGTAAAGTCTTCAGTCTCTGTTCACATTGTAGAATTTCAAGCCTAGGACTGACATGATATGCAGAGCTCCATTCAGATAGCATTATCTTCATTTCACTTACGCTTCTGAGTACAGGTAGTTATGCAAAGTAACTTAGCATAGATATAAACAGTTTATTTTAAAAAGTAGGTTCTATTTGGTACTTCCTATCTTTATAGAAATTGGGCATCTTCGTTTCCACACACATAATATACAGAAATTATCCATTTTGTTTATTCTTGAATTACAAATGCTACAAACTACCCTTGTAAACGTATATACTATAGTATCCTTTCTTTCTGGTGACTGACTGTGAAAATAGAACAAGCAAATAACACCAAAATAAATTCAGAAAATATTTTTCCAGTAGATGCAAGTACTATGGCAACTTTCAGAACAGTCTTTATTCTGTAGTCTATTAATTTGAACTAGAAACTCAGGTTGAAAAATGTAGACAGAATCATTTCATATTTCCAGAAGAAACAGTAATTGAGTTTATTACATTACTTTATACAAAACAAAAACTTTTTGACACTAAAAAATATTCTTGAAGGGAAAAGAAAGACTCAAAAGCTAAGCTAATGGGCTGTCCTGGTTTTGGCTAGGATAGAGTTAATTTTCTTCATAGTAGCTCATATGGTCTATGTTTTGGATTTGTGCTGAAAACAGTGTTGACAACACAGGGATATTTCAGCTATTGCTGAGCAGTTCTTACACAGAGTCAAGGCATTTTCTGCTTCTCACACCACCCCTTCAGCAAGTAGATGGGGGCTGCACAAGAAGCTGGGAGGGGACACAGCTGGGACACCTGACCCCAACTGACTAAAGGATATTCCATGCCATATGACTTCATGCTCGGCGCATAAAGGTGGTGGAAGAAGGAAGGGGGGGAATGTTTGGTTACTTCCCAAGTAACTGTAACACATGATGGAGCCCTGCTTTCATGGAGATGGCTGAACACCTGCCTGACAATGGAAAGCAGTGAATGAATTCCTCTTTTTGCTTTGTTTGTATGCGTGATTTTTGCTTTCCCTGTTAAATTGTCTTTATCTCAACCCATGAATTTTCTCACTTTTACCCATCTGATTCTCTCCCACATCCCACTGAGCAGAAGTGGGTGAGTGGCTATGTGGTACTTAGTTGCCAGCTGGAGTTAAACCACAACATGGGCCAAGTGAAGTACAAATCATATGGAAACATCAAATGTGGTAAATGTCTATCTGGAAATCTTCTCTAAATTCTTGTGCATCAGTTCTGAGGTCTGAAATATTACTTCCTAATAAAATGTACCAATAACACGCACAGAAATAAAGGGCACAGATGCATAAATAAATTGCATGTATTCAAATAGATTACAAAATACGAATAGATAAAATCAGGTAAAATCTTAAAGCAAAATTTTAACAATTGAGAAATTGAGAGTGACTTCCATGATGCACAAAGCATAGTAGCTAAACTTTTTTGACTCTTAAGTAAATATAATTTCAAAAGTCAAAATAAATTTTAATCTAAGTTTATTTAAATATTATCTATGGGAAAGAGGAACACATGTTCCATTCTGTGTTATCAAGAGGAAATGATTGGAAAAGCTACTGTTCCACATATTTTACTGCTGCAACTTCTGCAAATGCATTTTATTTCAAGATTATCTTAGTGAAAAGCTTAAGAGGCCATACTAGTGCTTGTTCAAGAAAGCTTAAGGGCTGAATAATAAAAGCATACCAAACTGTGATTTTTCTTTGCTTTTGAAGAATTATATAAGAAATACTTCCCCTGTATCCACCCCAATCATGGAAAATTAGTTCCAGATGATTATACTACCTAACAACCATTAAATCTAATAGCTATGCATGCCTATGCATTTATACATCTGTAAAAATATGTGTGTATAGAGATAGACAGTCTAGCTAAATATCTATTTGCTTTCTATGTATGTGTACTAGGTGTAATATATACACGCATTTAAAGATAATATAAATATAATACTCCCACATATCCTTCTTAAAGTGTGAAGTTAGGCATAATCAACATCTGTTGCAACAGCAATACCAGATTATTATTTACTAGAAAAGCACAAAGATAACAACCCTTCTAGTAAATATGAATATTTTGATCAGCACATGTTCTGCCCATCTGCTGAAATCTTAAAGCAAATTGAAACAAGATTAATGAACATTTTTCTTCAAGTTATTCATGCAGTTTCTGTCATCATTAGGAAGTCTCACTTGAATTAGCTAAAAAATAGTCTCCCCTTCTTCCTATTTTAAATGACAGTGATGTGCAGAATGTGTTTTATCTCATTGTTTGATCAAATGTCTCTGTATTGAGCAATTCACCCAAATAAATGCAAAAAGGGACAATCACATAATTTTCAAATTGAATAATATGTTTTTAAGAAACTTAATTCAACTGGAATGACCAACTGGGGAAGCATGCTTTGAAGGACACGAAATAGTGCCTGCCTTACTCATTTACAGTAAATTGTGATGATATGTGTATTGACACGAGTTGCATTACTTTGCTGCTTCAGTATATGTTGATAATTTTGTCTTATTGCTGGCACTTTCTTGTTAATTTTTCCAGAAAGATGTTGTTGTTCTTAATTTGTATCAAATAATTTTTGTGTTTACACTATACATACAGAAATTTCTCTAAGACAAAGTCTCAGATCCACCATCAGAAGAGAAGGCCTGACTTCTGCTGATCAATGAAGATGTATGTTTTGTCACAAAAAAACATGTATTTGTTCTCTGTGCTATCTATTTGCGTGTTTGAGGCATACGTCACAGAAGAGCTAAACTGGTTTGGCAGAAATAAACACTGCCTATAGGGAAAACAGAGATGCAGAATAGTCTTCATTTAACAAACAAATTCTATTTTATGGAAACCATTGATATGAATCTATTTGCATTACTTCTTAACCATTTGCAATTTCCAAAACAGTACTATTCAAATGGTATTATCATAAAAGTTTTACAATTTGTATAGATAGGACTGAAATCCAAACGGATAGTAGAACGCTTCCAAAAGCTGACTTACATGATCCATTAGTTCACGAACCATTCCATTCCACTGTCCACTGGCATCTTCTTGGGCTCCATATTTTCCGTCCTCCACCAGTCTAATCTCATAGGAAAATCCAAGGATAGTAGACAGCTCCCTGAGGAGGTCAATGCAATAACCTTCAAATCGATCATTTCCATACAAGGGTTTGTCAGATTTCTTGAACATAACATATGGCTCTTCCTGTAGAAATTAAAAAGACAGAATGACTAATGAGCTCCTCCAACAGCTTTCTTTTCTTTTTAACCTGAAGTATTACACTGTCACGATACCACTCCCTGCACAAAGAACTAAAACGAAAAACTAAACTGTCAGCTTTCAGTTACGTCTGTCTAAAGTCTTTATCTTCAAACTGAAGTTAGTCAGAAGATCCTCTTTTTCATTTTTATTTGAAAAAACGACACTGTAAACACCACAGACATATCTTCAAGGGATTCATATAAACACTAATTTTAGAAGTGCTCCTTAATAAGTTACACTACACGCTAATGTCAAATGCATTGCTTGGATAGATGTTGTAAGCCTGTTAATATACAGAAATAATGTGCTTTGGCAACTGAAAAAAAAAAACTAACTCACACCCCAAAAATCAATCAAATGCTTTAAGCGTTAGGTTTTACACTTTTTCTTTAGATAAGTATTTTAACTGTTTTCTCAATGCTTTGTTAGGTAAAGTATAGAATACCCAGAGGGAGAAGAACAAGTCAGTGAAATCACCTACTGTTCTGTTGCCTCAAGCTTTAGGCTGCAATTTACAAGACTGCAGCAAAATCAGAAAAACATTGATTCAAAAAGCAAATTCTATGATATACATTCCATGAAAACTTTGTTTATTTTCATTAAACACTTATTTTCTTGTATTTAATTTAAATTACAATGTGACATTTTTGCATAATGTGTATGCAAACAGAACACCAAACAAGTTAAAATGATTGGCAGAACATTCAGAATTATGGGAAGAAACAACTTTTAACAAATTATAATATTTTTACATCTGTTTCTTTATATAGGCTAAACTTCCTCAAACATATAGCTGAAGGGAAAAATACAAAAAACAAGTGGTAGAATTTTCCACTATAATACGGCACCAATATTCATGTTGTATTTCATGGGTTAAATACACAACTCAGTCTTTACTCATCTTTTAGACAGGCTTTTTTCATTTTTTACAATAATAAAAAAGTAAGCACCAAGTAAGGTAAAACAAATGGCAGTAGATGCTATTACTACACCAAATGTAAGTCTCATTGTATAATCAGATAAACCGTCCAGGCTAACTTAATAAAATTCATAGAGCCCTAAACATGCACCTCAGCACTCAGCAGAGTTAAAGGCACTTGATTCTACAGGCATCTGACAGCTTGAATAGCGATTTCTTACCATTACTGATGTAAACATCTATCTTGAGGTGTCCCATGATTTAAGCATTATATCTATTTAGTATATAAAATTTTACTCAAAATGCAAGGAAGAAAGCAGCTATATCTCTTGCTCTTAAAAGTGTGTTCAGAATATGTATGATCCCCTGTTGCCTCTTAAACTTTTTTCCTAAATAAAACAAACCAAGACTCTGCTGAGATTTTATTTTTATATACGTCTACTGAAATTAATAAGGTTACAGCCATATTTTTAGAAAGTACATCACTGATCTTCATACAATTAACAAGGAGTGCAACTTTAAATAAATTGTCCAGAGAAAATACTAGGATGTTTTGACAGAAACTTTTCAAATAATAGATAGGCAAATGACTCCAGGAGAGCTCCTCTAGACGTAATACTGACAATTACAAAGACCTGACTGAAAACATGAAAATTGAAAGCAATTTAAATGTCAAGGATCATTGAATAATTCGTGAGAAGCAGAGACAGTGAGAGAACAAAAACTATGTATGAAAAGAGTTGTTAATAAACTTAGACAATTGATATGAAATATCTCATAGAAAACAACTGTAAGGAAAATAATCTTTCAGGTAAAAACGGAATTCCTTAAAGAAAGCACACTACCAGCCAAGCAGAATCTACGCTAAGACAAAACACAGAAAGTGCCGAGAAAGAAGCAACAAGACTCAAACATGAATTCTTCAGTGAAGTGAAACTCAGAAAAGGAAGTATGGAGGAAGCGAAATGTAACTCAGAATATGAAGGACAAACAGAAAAGCAAACAAACATAAAACTTCTGCAGGGACAAAAGAACAAATACCAAAGCAAAAAATAGAGTACAATTAGCAATCAATATTAAGGATAAAAAGCGGCATTCTAGAAGCAAGGATAAAAGGAAATTCTAGGAACAAGTTTATGTATTGCCCAGCAGGAAGAGAAAACCATGAAATGACATTACAAAGACAATAAAAGAGTTACGATTTTCCTGTGCCTGTCTTCTCTGAAAAGACTAACGCTGGTCAGATAATGTACAAAATTAGTACAAGAAACACACATGAAAGTGTTTAGACTAAAGTAAGGAGAGATAACTTCACTGAGTCCTTGAAGTGGAAGTATTTTCAGGAAGTTTGGACCTGATGAATTTACAGGACTGGGTTTAGCAACTTCAGATCCATTAGGAATTATCTTTAAGAATTAATGAGGCTTTAGGAGACTGTAAAAGGCTTATCTTCAAACTCTTGCCAATCCAAAAAACTTCACAAACTGGAGAAAGGAGGCCTATAAAATTGTAGGCTGATTAATGCAAGTTTTTGAGCAAAACAGTATTTTTATACTCATCAAACTGTAAAACTATTTCATTTGTGGGACCCTAAAGCTAAGAGAATACAGAGAAGGGGAAAAGTTCAGAAAAGTCATCACACCACGTTATATGCAAAGTCATCCTGTCCTTCCTAAAAATATGAAGAAAATTTGACTGTGCAGAACTGTGCACTTTGTTGAAAGAGATTCATTATCAGTCTGGAAAGCTGTAAGAAGTAATATTCCTTTAGATGGTACAGTTAAATATTTCCACTTATTCTTCAACAGAAAATATGCTAATTGAATGTGTATTCAGATTTAACAGTACTTAATTTAAATATATTATCCCATACCAATAGGGATTAAATACTCAATAAAATTGTTTAGCTACAATTTAAATCCTAAAATATATTTCTGAAGATGTAAAAAACCCTGTTTCACACATAAAAAAGCTCAGACTTGTGCCTCCCATTTATAACATTCTATACACACCCCCGCAGACATTATAAAATTCCTATGTAACTTGGAATGCTCATGTACACAGATCCTAGACATTTGCTCTCTGACTTGTTCAGATATTTGGAATTACATATCCCCCAGTCTCTCTGGAATCTTGACAAGATTCTTGACAACAGTTTTACTTCTATCTTCCATTCCATGCAATCCTGAATTAGATGGGGAAGAATTTAATACGTGCAATGTCAGGAAGGCAGTATAATTGCCAATTTATGCTTCTGTGTCTCTGTGCTTTTATGTCTCCTTTACTTAACAAGGACAGCAGGATTTTCTTTATTAAGCCATCCAGCTCATCCAAAAATTTTTCCATATTTTCCTAAGACCATTACATTAATCCTCAATCGCTTTATCTGTTCTGCTAATACTTTTTTACACTTTTTTAAAAATAAATTTTGCAGCACTTTCTGGAATTTATAATTCCAGCTCCATACTCTTATTATTCTTTACTCTGACCAGCTTGGATAAGGGCTACTATAGTCTCTATCCTACTATTTAATAATTACAATATTTTGTTATGGAAAAAAAGCTTTTGCTGAGAAGACTGATCAACGAGCTACTCATACTCTCTTAATAGTTTCACAATCCTTACATTAAACCTTTACTTAATGCCTCTTGCTGCTTTTCCTTATAGTCTTCCACTGTCCAAAACATTTGCTTTTTGTCTTCAGACCTTTTATCTGCCATGTAAAGCATTTTCTTACTTAGCTTCAAAAGGATTCATCTTCAGTTTATCACGAAGTGATTTTTGGCAGCTTCATCTGTGATAGCTCTTATTAACCCCAAATTTTTCTCTAGCTCTTCTCTTTTTGCTCTGGTAATATAACACACTTTCTAAATATTGAACATAGCATTTATGTATTCTGACCAAGTCTATGCAAAGGATCTACTACATGCTTTATTTGTTTAAGTTTTAAATCTATAGTATGGACTAATGTAAAACTGGTTGCCAAGTACACTCTCATGAAAGTATCTATGCATTCAGCATATGATCACCATTGCTTCTTGGTGGATTATCACTTCCACCAAAATCTCTCACTAGGGCAACTATCATCGATTAGGTAGACAGAGTATTTAAACTGATTCATAAAGATCTGCAACCGACTTATACTTATTTTAATACTGTTCACTATTTAATTTTGCCCTTCACCTCCTGAAAGCATGACCCTTCAAAATTACTAGACCGCATCATAAAACTAATTAGTCAGACTGGTTTTCAGAGTGTTTACAAAATATTCTTCAAAATCTTCTAAATAGTTTCAACTGAAATTAACAGTCTTTCAACTGGATACATCTACCCAGAAATAAACAACACATATACCTTCTCCTTAGCATCTTTATTATTGCTTAGAATTACATGAAGAAAAACCATTGAATAAGCACTGTCTATACACAGGTACACCAAGCAAAATATTCCTGAACAAGTCCTCACGCAGAGACAATGTTTCAAGAAAACTTGCCTCCTCTGAATTAACTTAGGCTATAGGAGAGGGATTCTACCATCTATTTTTATTAAGCATGCTTGTCTTGAAATAAGAGCAATCAAAGGGAGAGTTGTTGCACTTTAAAAACAACCCTTTTCTTCATCCAGATTAATATTTCTTCTTGTTTAGTTTATGCTTGATGTGTGAAATTTGCCAACTTTGTACCAAACCTTTGACCAGCTCAGTAGTAAGGAATTACCCAAGTTTATACATATAGAAATACTTAGAATATGGAAATGAGTAAAAAGATAAAGGGCACTGGAAATAATGTGAGAGATGAAAAGGATGTTGGTAAATAAAGTTTTGATATCATTAGCTTACATTTGAAATTGGGACGTTAGCTAAATTGATGTTTTCTCACAAGATTTAAATCACGGAAGTTTATAAAAATTGTGCAAGAACAAATTGAGTCTACATTACACATATTCAGAAGGTTCACCTATATAATCATACATCTAATTCTACAGTTAGGTAATACATGGTATTTAAAGTAAATATTTTTAGAAA